GGTAGAGCTCACTGCAACTAGGGTTCCCAAAATCTGGTCAGGCAGCTCCTGACTGTGACAATGAGCTTAATGAGTTTTTGAAAAGCAAAATATCTGAATTTTAAGAACTGAACTTTATTTTGAATCTGACCCGTTTTTGTTGTTGACATGGTAGTATTAATTGGTGATTGTTGTATTTTTTGAATGTTACTAAGTAGCATTTGGTAACCTTCATTCATTCTTTCCTCCAGCAGGCACTTGTTTGGCCAAGCAGGGTCTCTGCTGTCATAGAGCTTACCATCTAGCAGGAGGAGATAAATCTTTTAATGGAAAGATCTGATTAATAAATGTATAACTGCAATGGTTCTAAGAGAATGAATGGCGTCTCTGCTGTCATAGAGCTTACCATCTAGCAGGAGGAGATAAATCTTTTAATGGAAAGATCCAATTAATAAATGTATAACTGCAATGGTTCTAAGAGAATGAATGGTAAAGGAAGTTGATCTAGACTTGTAAGGCTTCCCTGAGGAAGTGATAGCAGAAGTGAAATATGAAAAATAAGTAATAGTTAACCAGGTGAAATGGAGTATGGGCAGAGAAAGGGTTGCAGAGGGAGAGAATAGACTGGGCGAAGGACTTCTGGTGGGTGGTGTTATGGTTAAATTCTGTCCCCCCAAAATTCAAAAAATCCTAACCCCAGCACCTCAGAATGTAGCCTTATATGGAGATAGGGTCTTTGAAGATGATCGAGATGAGGTTATTAGGGTGCGCCCTAATTCAATATGACTGGGTGTCCTTATAAAAGGGGGAAATTTAGAGAAAGAGACATGCATACAGGGAGAAGGCCGTGTGAACACAAGAATGGCTGTCTACAGCCCAGAGAGGCCTCAGGAAGAACCAGCCCTGCACCCTGGTCTTGCACTTCTGGCCTCCAGAACTGTGAGAAATTTCTGTTGTTTAAGCTGCTAAGTCTGTGGTACTTTGTTATGGCAGCCCTTGAAAATAAATACAGTGAGGGAGCCTGACACTGTTTCAGGAAATAAATAAAAGCTTCCTCTGGCAAGGGGTGTTGTGAGATGGATGGGGCTGGCAAAACAATGGGGACCAAGGAAGAATTTTAAGGGGAGCATTGGCAAGATCAGGTTTGCATTATAAAGGCTCCTTTGGTTGCTGTTGAAGAATAGATCAAGAGGGAGCCAGAGTGGATGACAAGTGAGGCCCCTTGGAAGGCATGGCAATAGTCAAGATGAGAAATAATGCTGAAATGTAGATGGTGGGACATCACTTTTACCTGCTCTTTCCATCTAACTACAACGAAATACCCTGCAAATAATTCAACAGACAACAAGGAAAGGAGTTGGAAATAAGAAGACAGACTAGCTAAGGATCTCAGGACTGGAGGAAAAGCGATGAGGTCGGTTCCCTGCATTTTCTCTTTCTCTTATATTTCCCTAGACTAGGCACCAGAGGAACAACCCAGAACAGCCTATAGATATAGACAAATCTTCAAGGAAAGGCTCCTCTGGGCGAAGGACTGGGAAGGAGGACACCTAATGTAGACCTAGAGGGGAGCTACAAGCCCCACTCTACAATCTGTCCACAGTGACAGCTTCTGAGCCCCTGCAGGTACCCCACCCTTGCTGTACAACTTAGGTGTCAGTGGGCTGTCCAAACTGCACAGGCAGTGTCAGTGGAGCCTGGAATGTTCCAGCCTCCCTCCTGGTAGCACAAGGAGACCTAGAGTAAGCATGTCTTCCCTGCCCCCACCACAGCAGAAGGTGGTCCAGTGACATCAGGTCACTCAGGGAAGCCTTCCAACTCTGCAGGCGGCACCAAAAGAAATTGAGCAGCTCTAGCAGTGCCAGAAGAAGAAAGTGGACCAGGAGGGCAACACAAGGGCTCTGAGATGAAATTATCATTGGAATGATAGACCACAAAAGTAGGCTGGAATCTACATGCTAAACCTAAACAGGGCAACTGCCTGCTGAAATGGAAGATTTAAATAGAATCAGGAGTCTCCAAACATAATAACCCAAATGTCCAGCATCCATTTGAAAATCACTTGTCATACCAAGAACTAGGAAAACCACAATTTGAGTGCCAAAAGACAGTTAAATGGCATGAATGCCAAGATGAATCAGATGTAATGCTCTGCCAAGGATTTTAAAGTAGTCATAAAAATGCTTTAATAAGTAATCACAAATTATTTTAAAATGAAAAAAATAGAAATCTCAGTAAAGAAATAGAAATTACAAAAAGAACCGAATGGAAATTATAGAACTAAAAAAAATACATTAACTGAAATGATACTGTGTCCATTGCAAGAAATAGAAATTACAAAAAGAACCGAATGGAAATTATAGAACTAAAAAAAATACATTAACCAAAATGATACTGTGTCCATTGCTAGAAGGACAGACAATAGTAGAGTGGAGATGACAGGATAGAGTTAGGTAACTTGAGGGTAAAACAATAGAATTTACTTGATCTAAGCAACAGAGAGAAAACAGACTGAGAAAAAAGTGAACACAGTCTCGGACAATAATTGGTATCACTAGCATCCCAGAACAAGAAGAGAGAAAGTATGGGGCTGAAAAATGTATTTGAAGAAATCATGGCTGCAAACTCCCCAAATTTGGTGAAAAACATAAACCCACAGGTTCTAGAAGCTAAGCAGGCCATATAGGATAAGCCCTCCAAAAAT